TTATAAATTTTAATATAATGATTTTCATATAAAGTTAATTTTATAATTTTTAAAATAATAACTTTTTTCAATTTTTATTAAATTTTAAAATATTTTAATAAGCAAAATATTTTTTAATTAAATAATTATATGTGTTTTTAATATAGTAATTATAAAAAATATTCAATTTTTTTATAGTTTTTTATGAAAATTATAATTCGACTTTATAATAAATATATATAGCATAATTTTTTTTTTCAAAGGATGTTTATTTATATTGAATATAGATAATAATATAAATAAAGAACAATTAAATAAATAATAAATTTAAAAATATAAACTAATTAAAATCAAATTCATAAAAAAAAAAATTTTAAATATAATATTATTATAAAAATTTAAAATAAATAAATAATTATATATATATTTTAATTAAGAAACAATTGCATATATTATAATAATATCGTTAAATAAATTTTAAATTAAAGAGAAAAATGGGAAACTCTTCAATAACATCTAAAACTTTAATAAATAATTAAGAAGTTCTCTAAAACAATGTTTATGGCTAATTTATTCTTATAAAATCTTAAGAAAACCCTATATAAAATTACGCTTAATTAACATAGATTATACAAGATTTTAAATACTAAAAATAAATTAATGAATTAGAACAACGTTAAAAATTATCTCACAAAAACTTAGTGAAACTGATTAATTTTAAATCTTAAAAACTTGAAAATTTGTGTTCTAATCATTATTAAATTACCAAAACTTATGAATATTTTGATTAAGACTTAAAATAATAGATTGAATTAAGAAAAAATTTATAGTTTTATTATTCTGAAACAGAAATATTTTATATTCTTTAATCTTTTCTATAAGTATCATTTTATTTATCGAAAAATAAGATTTAAAACTCCAAAAGAACACCTTATGTCGCTCTTTTATCGAACTAAGGTGAAATAAAATTATTTGAAAATCAATAATAGGCATTAACTACTGAAAAAGATAATAAATAAAATACAATAAGAAGTATTCTTATTATAGTATTAGAAGCTTGTACATTAAAATTTATTGACAAAAAAAATATTGATTTAGAAATTTTAGAAAAATTAAAATTTGTAAATAATAATTATTCAGAAAAAATATACTTAATTTTAAGTTAAATGAGAATAAATGATCTTCAAAATGTTGATAAAATACTTTTTTTACTAAATAAAAATATTTCTGTATATTAAAATATCAAAAACATTAAATTAATTGATAAAAATAAAATTTAAAGTGAATAAAAAATATAAATTAAAGATGAAATGGATAAAAAATGTTTAATATTAGATTAAAAAAATATAAAATAAAAAGAAATTAAAACATAAAAATAATAATAATAATAATAATAATAATAATAATAATAATAATAATAATATTAACAATAATAATAATAACAATAATAATAATAATTGTAGTTTTAGTATTTATAAAATATTTCATCGTATTAAATTTTTGATTAACAAGCTTTAGACTCTAGAGTCGATTAAGTTCTTAAAATGACTCGATAAACTCTTTAAAAATACCAAAATAAATTTTTTTAATAGTGTTCTCATGTAGTTAATAATTATAAATCTAAGGAGAATAAAGAAAATTAGTTTTTTTATTAATATAAAAACGACCATATTTCATAAAAAAATAATATTTAAAATTTATAATAGATAGATTAGATAGATTAAAATAATTATGATAATTTATTAGATTTAGAATAAAAAAAAATAAAAAGAAGCAAAAATTTTATTTTAGAAACAAATATTAATAGTTCTTTTAAAAATGGATTTTCGTTTAATGAGCAAAGTTAAAAATAAAATAATTCAATACATTAAGATGATAATTCTTCGTTAAATTAAGACAAAGGTCAAATAAATTTACAAAGTTACTAAAATTAAAATTTGTATTCAAATTTAAACACAAATTAAACAAGTGTAGATTTTGATAATTAAATAAAATTACCACTTAATTATACAAGATCTTCTAGTAATGTTTAGGATATAATTAATAGATATTTAAGTTAATAAAACCATAGAATTTATTGAAATAATATATAAATATTAAATATATATATATATTATATATTATTTTATTCAAAAATAAAATGTTTCTTTAACTTTTTAGCTGATTTCTTCTTCTTCTTTAAGATGATTTCTTATTAATTTTTAATAAATTTAATATGTAAATAAGTAAGTATTAATAAATTTTACTTAAAAGAATCTAACTTTTTTTACAACAAATTATACATTTTTAACTTTTTCTTAATAACACCATCTAGTTTTTTGACATAAACATCAATATCAAAATCCATAAATCCGAATCCTTAAACACTAGAAATCAATTCACTTTCTTAAGTTAATAATTTTGCATCTTCTTTAATGGAAGCCATATGAGTAGCAAAAATTTCTTCTTGTTCTTCTAAAATTGCGTTCACTTTTTCATGGAAATCAAAAAACTCATTTGACATTTTATTTTTATCATCCATTTTAAGAGTTTCTTTCATACAACGAACATCATCTTTTACTTATTTGCTTATTTTTGGGGAATCTAAATCTTCATCCGAATAATTATTTTTACTGATATTATTATTATTACTTGCACAGTTACTAAGCTTTTGTTTATTATTCGTAGGTATATTTGTAGATTGTCCTCTTTTTATTTATTTATTATTATTTTCTTGTTATTATTATTTTATTTGTTATTATTTCAGATTTTCTTCTTCAATTTTTTAAGCTATCCTTCTATCAGTTGGGGGTAAAAGAGGAGTTTTCTTTTATTATTACTATTATTGCTATTACTGCTTTTCCTATTTTTTAAAAAGTAAAAAATATAAAAAATAAATATTTTTTTAATTTAAAAATACGTTTTCAATTTAATTTATTGAACTATGCTTTTTTTAGTTTTATATCGGCGGTTACTTTTTATTACTGTTTTCACCACCAATATTAGAATCGCTGCGCGAGTCTTTTCCTTTTTCTTCTAACATTTTGTCTAGATTATGTTATTAAGCTAAATTTTATTATATTACATCATTTTTTACTACTGCATTTTTATTTTCTTTTAATCTATCTGCATATCTTTATTTTATATAATTAAATTTTTAAATAATTTAACATTACCTTAATGTGTTTAATGTATGCTCAGCTGAAGAAGAGTTAGGACAAATACATGCAATCATAACTATTTTCGAACTATTTTATTTTGAATAAAAGGAATCTCTTAAGACCAAAGTTAATTTAGAAGCCCTAAAAGGTATATAATTTGCTCCCATATCCATAGCTCTAATACATTCTTTTAAAGCAAGTAAACTATATTTAAATAAAATATAATAATTTATTTAAAAAAAATACCTTTTATTGATTTCTGCCCCTTCAATTCTTCTTTATCTATTATTACTTTAGCAATCTTAAGCCCTTTCAGATCCTGCTAAATCAACTAGAATAACCTAACCTTTTACAATATCTTTTTCATTTTTTATTTTGATTTGACAAATAGCATGAGAACGTGAAGAAGTATCATTAGCTTCAGTAGCATGAGTACTTTTATAAATTAAAATGAGTATAAAAAAAATATAAAAAAATTACGTTCTAACATTGTTTGCAAATTCAATAATACTAATCATTTATTCAGCTGAAGTAGCCTCTTTTTCAAATAAATTTTATATTTATATTTAACCACTTTTATCTTCTAAAATTATTAATTATTATTTATTATTAAGTAAATCATAACACCTTCCTCCATAGATTTCAAAGAAAGAAATAAAGAATCTACCTTTTTTACTTGCATAATTTTCATGTTAAATAAGCTTATATAAATCATTGACAAATTATTCTTAAATTCCTTTCATTGTAAATGTTTTTCCCGAACCAGTTTATCCATAAGCAAAGCAAGTAATAACTCCATTTTCTAATACATGTTCTAAAAGAGGTCTAAGTGAATACTTATAAACACTAAAAGTATCTTCACTTTCATTAAAAGTATTATCAAATGTAAAATCTGAATTATCTATATATTTCGTGATTCCATCTACTTTTAACTTTGGAGCTAAAACTCTTATCTAAGGGTTCGATACTGAAACTGAATCTATTTCCCCATTTACTTCTTCTTTTTTAAATATTGGCCTTTTTCGAACACATACACATAATTTTAAATGAGAAGATGGAGTATGGGGTTATTATAAAGGATCTTTAAAACGATTTCTTTTTATCATATTATCAAAATCAACATCTATGTTTTTCCCTAATGCTTAGTTTTCTAATATTTGGTTATCACGATCTCTTTTTTATTCTTCTGCTTTTAAACGACGTTCTTCTCGTTATTTTTCCATTTTTTGTATCTTTTCTACTGTGGGATCTTTATATGCTTGTTTTTTTAATTATTCATTATTATTATTGTTTATTTATTCATTTTGCTGGATTTAATTGATATTGTTATTTGGATTTATTTATATACCTTTTTATTTTTTAATAAGAAATATTATTGATAATAATTCTACCATTTGCTTTTTTTAAACGATCAAGTTTTTCCTATCGAGTTCCATATACAGGGAGATTTCTTACTTTTAATTCGTTTATTAATTCTTCATCTGTTATCTTATTACTTTGAAGATCTTTTTTGTTTTATTACACTAAATCTTTATATCCTTTGATTAATATTTAAAAATAATATATTTAAAAAAAAAACCTTTTAATTGATTGACTGGTTTCATTATTTATAATATTTTTATATTGATTATTTTGATAATTATTTTTAAGTATTAAATTAAGTGTGTGTGTTTTATAAATAAAAAATAATAAAAATATAAATTTTATATAAAATTATATTTATTTTTTTAAAAATTAAATATTATATATTTAAAAAATTTTATATTTTTGTTTTTTTAATCATAATCGGATATTAGAATTATTTTTCTACATTAAAATTAAAACTAAAAATAAATGTAAAAATTAAAATATTTACTTAATATAATAACATATAATCATATATCTAAAATAATTTTAAAACGTAATATTAAAAATAAATTAATACAATTAAATACATATATAAATACAAAATAAAAAAGTAAAACATATCTTTTTTATGATTCATAAAATTAGTTATATATGATTATTTTCATCTATTAATTTCAAATTTGTTCGACAAAGCCTTTAACATTTTAATGAAAGTGTCTTCAACAATAAGTGTTCTAGAAGGCATTAGATAAATAAGTTTTTTAGAAGTGATATATCTTTCATGCATTAAAGGAATATGAATAAATAAATTATAAATTTAAGGCATAGTAATTAGCAAAAGGTAAAGAATACTAGTAATGAGTACAATATTTTTCTCATCTTAAGTAAGTGCACTTAATTAATCTCTAAGAAAATCTCTAATATTCTTTAATGATTAACTAAGAATAACACAGACATATCCCATATCATCATTTTTATCTTAGTCTATTTTATTTTAGAAGTTTTCATTTTGACTTCTTTTAAGAATATTATTAATAATATTGAGTGCAGATAAAATTCCTTTAGTGAATTATCCAAAGTACATTTTTTCACAATTATTAGTTAATTTATCATGATCTTTTACACATAAATCTTATTAAGTTTATTCATTAAGTAAATTTTAAAAGGAATTTGCAAAAAAATTTATTTTTTTTATTGTTGGTACAATGTCACTAAATTAGGTTAAAACCTTAAGTTGATATTCATATTCAGTATTTTTTATAAAATCAATATCTTTTTAGTTTACTTTTTATGTGTATTTTCTCTATATTGCTTTGTTTTAATTTTATATTTACTAATGGACATAAACCTACATATTTGTTAATACTTGTACATATATATTAGAATCAGAGAATATTTTGTAATATTAAATTGCAGGTTTAAACTTTTACAAAAAGTTTATGCTTAATGAATAAGTTAAGAATGAATATACAAGAAATATTATGAATATTAGAAATGATATGTAATAGAATCCAGCAAATTTTAATTTTTAGTTATGAATTTATACTAGGGATTTTTATCGACTATTCTTATATGTCTATATTGTAGCATTTGCCTTTTGTATTGATACATTTTATTTTTCTTATAAATCTTCTTCTATTATGCAGCTTTCTTTTTATTTTATATTAAATTAATAAAAAAGAAATATATCTTCATTATCCTTTATTTATTCTTGAATTTTTGCTAAACGTTATAATTCTTTTTCTACTGAAACTATGCTTACAGCTTAAACAATATTAAACATTTTTTTTATCATTTTTTCGAATTCAAAAAAATTATATGAACTAAAAACAAAAATTAAAGATATTAATATATTTAAAATAATAGTTATAATTAAAATTTAATTCTAGAGATTTTCATTATACTTTTTAAAAAATAATTAGAAATAATATATTAAAATTTATATACATTAATAGTATTGTCTAATATTTTTTATGTTAATTCTTTAAAAAATAAATAGAAATTAAGAAAATTTTACTAAAGAAAAACAAAGGAAAATTAATCAAAATTATTCAGCCAGTCTTAAAAACTCCAATCTAAAAATAAATAAATAAATATAAAAATATATAAATATATTTATATATAAATATATAAATATATATTTATATATTTATATATTTATATATTTATATTTTTGTTTATATGTTTGCTTATTTATTTTTTTATATTTTTGTTATTATATTTGTTTATTTATTTGTTTATATATTATTTTATATATTTGTTTAATATATTTAACTTAATTATATATATTTTACTTACTTTTTGTTATTTGCATTTAAATAGCTAATTAAGAAGTTGCAGATTACATTGAATATTTGTTTAGAATAATAATATTATTAGTATTAGATTAATAAATAAATATATATTAATCAACAAAAAAATCTTTTAAATAGTTATTTATATAATCATTTTTTAAGTTTATACAATAATTTTCAAATTAATATTCCATTCTTTTTTAAAGTATATTAAATTTTTATTAACTTTCATTTTCATTTAAAAAACCTTCGTTATAATTGACTATAAAATTATTGATTAATGCTAAATAATTTAAATAATGTGTCATTATATTTGAATTTAGGGAAAGTGTATCTATATTTTTAAGAAGAGTATCAAAAGAACTATATATAACATTTAAAGAAATAATCGTAGTTATTATTAGTATTATATATTCCAATATTCTTAATATTCCTATTAATTAAAGAGAAAAAGGCTTACTATTACTTTATAAAAAGTCATCATAATAGTTATATTTATCAATACATTTACTTATTGAAGATGAAGAAGAGGTCACAGAACCTTCCCTTTCTTCATTATTTTTGTTTTGAATTTTTGTTAAAATAGCATTCCCTTTTTTTTCTTATACAGAGTCAGAAGAGTTGTTTGAATTTAAAGAATTGCTTTTTACATAAGCGACATGATTACTTTTAATGACTTATTAGTCTATTAGTATTTTACCTTTTTATTATTTTGTATCGAATTTAATTTCTATTTATTAATTTAATAAATTTTTTTATGTGCTACTTTCCTTTTTTTTATAATAAATTTATATATTTCCACCATTTATATTTACCAAAAATAATGTATCGTTTTATTATGCTTTTGTTTCACAAAAAAAAATTTCCTCATAATCTTGTTATTTATAAGAATTATTTTATTATAAAGTAACAGGCGCTCTAGATGAATTTATAACTCCAGGAGCAACGTCTTCCTAAATGAATGAAGCTTAATCAAATCTTTAGGTATCGATTTATTATAATTATTAAAACTATTATTAAATTTCTTATTATTATTATTAATAAGATAATTTTAATTATTTTTATGTCTCATATTTTTCTATTTTTAAATCGCTATTGTTTTTATCTATTTTTAAGTTATTTTATTTTTATATTGTTAAAAAAAATATACATAATGATTAGTATAAATATTTTTCGTTCTATGAATTTATTTATTCATCTTAATGAGAGTTAAGAGTATTATTATGAAAAGTTGCATTTTCAAAATTAGTTAAATAAATATTTTTAAATTCAACCACAAAATAAGTATATGAACCTGTTAAAATATGAAGATCTCTTTTTTCAATACAAATGTCCGCAAAATATTTGCTAATATTATTATTCGTGCTAGAACTTTTCGAATTGTATGTGTAATTTGTGATTAATTTTTATTCTTTCTTGTTTTCTATTTATTAATTGGTTTCGCTTTTAAGATTATTCTTTTCTATATTATCATCTTATTTACAACTTTATTATAAAAGCTATTGTATTATTATATGATTCTTATTAGGAAATGTTAAACTAACTTTCTCTAATTCAACATACTAACTCTTTTCGTCTATTTATGATATCAAATAATCAAAATTATTTAAGAAAATTTTCACATCATAATTTAAATAACCTGGAAGTTATTTTATTTAATAGAATCCAACTTTTTCAAAAATGTTTTAATCCATTCCTTCAACTATATGCTAATGGTTTACTACAAAAAATCCGCTTTTTGTTTACAAAATTTTAGCAAAAGCTATATATGGTAGTTCTTCTTAATGATAAAGATTCATAGAAATGAAAATTTATACCCTAACAAGAAAATTATTCTTTTTTTTCAAAAACAAATCTCTTCTTTGATGAATAATATTATCCTACCCTGTAGTCATTAAAAATCTTTTTTTAATTAATATTGATTTTTATATAAAATTAATTATAAAATATAAATTTTAATTTAACAATAATAAAAAACCTTATTAATTCATCATGTATTTTAGCAATAGTCGGGGGCATTATTTCCTTAATATGATTAACATAATGAAATTCTTATTTTTTATAACCTAAAGTAGAAGGAACTTTATCGGAAACTCTTCTTATTTATCCCCAAACCTTACCCATAGTAACGGTAATAGAAAGAACATCAGAAGTAAAAATATTCATTAAATCTGTTTTATTTTAAGTAGTAAAATCACTTCCAAAATCACTAAAAACTCTTTATTTAGAAATGCTAATAGCTTATTTAAAATTATTTTTTATTTCAGATTCAAAGAAACATAGAAAACATTAATTTTTAATATTAGGAAATTTATAATTTAATTTATATAAACTTTTTTCTAAATTATCATATTTTTTGTTTAAAATTTTATTTTAATTTTCTAAATCAGATGTATTTTCAAATGATTTTCTCATTTTTTCATAAACATCTATTTTTTTACTTATACAATCTAATAAAAGTTCTTTTAATTTATCTTTTTCTAATTCATATTAAATATAAATATCTATCGTTAAAGTCATCATTTCAAGTTACATGTCTGTTATAGTTTCAAATATAAGGTTTTTCATAGATCTTTTTATTTTATCTAAAAGAGTTAGAAGAGATATTTAAACGTAATTACTAGTATATTTTTTCATTTTATTTTATTCATTCATGAAATCTATAATTCTTTGAACTGAATATGTATGTTTTTAAGATTAAGCGAAAAAATCCATATATATTAAAAATTAAGAATGATTGTTAAAATTGTCTTTATTTTTTTTATATTATTTTAGATATAATTTAAAAATTATAAATACTTTTTTTATAAATAATAAAAAATACATTCAGAAGGTTAATTTAAATCCATTCTACATAAATATCTTATATATCTTTCTATTTACATTTTATCTAATAAAAAATAAATTTCGTCAAAACCTGTAAAGAAAGGGTTTTCTTTACAAAAGCAATTAACATCTTTACAAAAGGACTAATGCATTTATAATTATCC